GATGTTGTACTTTGTGTTTTTAATTGCTCTGATATGTACTATTTTAATGAATGAATATCTTGGGCATCGTAATTAATTGAAGTATTTAGTGTTCTCTGCATTCTTAGTTTTGGTTCACACAAAGTCTTTGCCCGTTGGAAGTTGGACGATGCTCTGTAATGGTGTCTTTTTCTTCCTTTATTTCCCTTTTCCTGAATCCTGATCATGCACAGCAAATCGAATTACATGATTCTCACGGACATGTTTTCATTCAATTTTTATTTCCCTTTTCAACCCTCTCCTTCTCCCATTCTCCTATTCGCATGCTCATTTTTCACCAGATGAGACCTAAAAGTTCAGAAATGCTGGACGATGTGATACGTAACAATTTAAATTTTATAAGCATAAGAACAAGCCATTAAATAATTCGATCTTCGCGGGTCGGATTGAAGGAAAAGAATATGTGGGTTACACAAATTGGATTGAAAGAAGTCAAGAGAGAGGAGGGGGGATGAGACTTGAAAAAAAAGCCGATCTTGTTGATATAAAAAGCTTGCAATATATGGACAATCCTAATAATAACTAATAAATATAAAATATTATTTAAATCTCAATAAAAATCTTAATAAATAATATATATTAAAAGAATAAATTTTAATGAATAATATATCTCAAGTACCCCCCTCAAACTTCCTTGAGCATCAATTTATAACAATATGGCTTGATTTTAAGAATAAATCACAATAAATAATATATCATTTGAACCATATGTAGATGGGAATTGGTTGTGTCTACTTGCTCATCAAATTATTTAGAATGATTCTCATGTGGATAAATCTATTGGAAAAATCAAAAGTGAGTTTTGAAAAAAATGAATCATTAGGTGTAAGATTTAAGAACGATTTTTAAAGGAATGAATCACTCAACTAAAAACTCAAGAATGATTATTGAAAGAATAAATTATTGAATAAAAAATTTGAGATTGATTCTCAAAAAAATGAATCACAAGACAGAAAATGTTGGAAACTCTGGTAGAAAATATAATTTGAGTCATACTTTAGAATACTATTCTTAAAAACTATCCTATCATACACGATTTGATATCCATAGCTCGTTAGAATTAAAAAAAATCTTCCAAAAAGCAAGATCACAAAACAGAGAAAATCACAAAATAATTCAGGAGAAGTACGAGAAAGGGAGGGGAGGAGATCGTGCCCCAAAGCTTAGGATGATGTGTCCATCTATGCGGTTGGTACTGCCTTTTATTGGCAAAAAAACTCATGAACATTGGGCAATTAATACACTAGTTAATAACACCTTAATACCATTAAAAATTGATTTCAATAAATAATGAGAAATAAATAGTTTTAAGGTGATTAATTTTATTAATTAATCCATAATTCTTTTTGAAATACTATATAATATTATTAAATATTCAATAGAGGTATTGGGAGTGATTCTTGAAATAATGAATCACCAGTCAGAGAACTAAATGGTGACAATGATTATTGAAAAAAAAAATGAATCTCTAAGCTATAAAAGAAAAAAACTAAGAGTAATTATTGCATAAATGAATCATGAAATCTCAAATTGAACTATCAAAACTAAGAGAAAAATATCAAAATACTAAAAGCAAAACAAAGAGGAAGAGCTAAGAGCTTTGCTATGCAAAGCTTAAGCCCAAATAAACTACCAAAATATTATTAACCAAGCTTTGATACTACAAAAAAGTTAAAAGAGAAAGAAAGAAAACTAGAAAAATGTTTTTACTTAATTAATGTAAGAAGGCTTACAATATATGGATGGTTCTAATAATAACTAATAAATATGTTAATAATAACTATCAATAAAGATTGATTTAGTTGATAAGAATTTAGCCCATAATCTATAAGAGTGTAAATTCAAATTCATCCTATAATATATGGACCTTGTTGATAGATAATCTATAAGTATATTTGTATATATTTTTTTGAGCATGAAAACATGCCTAGGCCATAATGAGCTCTCATGACCCAACTCAACAAAACTTTTGACTATAAAAAAATATCAAAATAATAACTAATGAATATAAAATCTTATTTAAATATAAACAGAATAAATTTTAATAAATAATATACATTAAGAGAATAAATCTTAACATGTAACATACGGAAACTATAGAATTTTTGTTTTTCTTGTAGGCTTGCGCTAAAGGAAAAAAGGGACAATTTCAATTAAGAATTAGGAAAGAGATAAATATTTACCATTGGGTCCAAAAAAATTCCAAAAATTCAATGCATGATTTCTGAATTGAATTGAAAAAAAATGATAGCTGAAAAGATCAAAATGCCCTTCTATAAAATTAACAAGTACTTCATTACTACCTAACTTTACTTGTTAATTGTTCATTTGTACTTGTTAATTTCTTAACAATACTTGTTAAATAGTTAACAAGTTAATTTTGTGACTCTATAATCTTAAAAATATTATTTGTTAATTTTATAACTTTACTTGTTAATTTGTCAATATTACTTGTTAACTACTTAACTTGACTTGTGAATCATTTATAAGGTTTGTTCACTCAATTTGATCAAAAAGTACTGTTATTAGTTATTAATTTTTTTATTTCACTTGTTAATTTACCAACATCAATTATAAATCATATGACTTCATTGTCAATAATCATACTAATATCAATTGTTAATTATCTAACTTTTACTTGTTAATTTATCAACATCAATTTTAATTACATGACTTATCAATAATTATAATAGTTTAATCATTTTGTCATAAATGCAAAATTGTTAATTATTAATTTTTTAATTTGTTAATTTATTAATATCAGTTGTTAATTATTTTTTTTGTTCTCTTGCAAAAGGACATTTTAATCATTTTAGACACCCATTTTATTTTAGTTCAGTTTATAAATCTTACAATGAATTTTTAGATTTTTTAAGAACCCACTAGTAAATGTTTCTTTTTCCTTATCCTTAGCTAAAATTCTTAAAAAAAAAAAAAACCGAATACAACGTGTATGCCATACATAAAGACATCACAATTTTAAAAATTATCAAGAGCCATATGTAATCAACTATTTCCTCCCGACCACAATAAAATTCATTTTTTAAAAACCTTGCTTGATCTAAAATAGGATATTAGATAGTTGTTATATATATATATATATATATATATTTCAATCATACCTTACTTGGTTTAGTAATTAATAAGGGTGTTTTGAATAAATTAAATGTTATATTTATTATACCTAAGGATAATATTAAAAATGTATAAAAATTTTAAAAATTCAAAATTTTAATCAATTTTTTTGAGAAATATAAATTAGTTAACTATGATTGAGAGGGAGTATATACTCTATTCATTTTTAAGCATAAAAATAATTAATTTATATAATTTAAGAAAGTTAGTTGAACATTGAAAAATAATGTTTGAAATCAGTGTCAATGATGGGTCGCGCTTGCAAGTAGTACTGTGAGAAATTAGAATAAGCCGAGCTTTCATTCATCATCAGTGAATATTAATCATAAGACTTGTAAACAGTCTACCACATTATAACATTTGTATTTTATTTTGATATACATGCCTTTTCTTTTTCTCCCATATGTTGATGTATACATACGTACATACATGTTACTGTCTAATTGCTTTGAACTTACGTTTCACTCGCGCATTAACAATAATGTCCAATTGCATTATTACAACGCAGGTTTAGAGCAATCACGAGTTCATACTACAGAGGAGCCTTAGGAGCATTCCTAGTGTACGACATAACCAAAAGGGAAACCCACGAGACCGTGAGAAAATGGCTGAGGGAGCTCCGGGAGTTCGGGAACGACGACATGGTCATCATCCTGGTCGGCAACAAATCCGATCTGATGGAATCAAGACAAATGGATGAAGAAGAAGGCAGGAAGGTGGCAGAGGCAGAAGTCCTGTGTTTCATGGAAACCTCATCATCCAGAACCCCACCGTTGAAGAAGGCTTCTTGCATATGATCAACGAGATTCATGACATCACCAACCACAAGATGACCTTGGAAGCTGCTAACGACATTAATAATGTAGCCAGATACAATATTCCTTCTGGGAAGGAGATCAATTTGAAGCAAGTACATTAGAAGAAAATAAATACATATATTACATTAGAAGAAAATAAATAATTCAGGTATTGTTGAGTATATTGTTGAATTGAGAACGAATCACCTGAAACCAAGAATATATGAATTTCATGGAGATTATTGTTTCAAGAAAGAGAGAAAAGATTTTATATTTTATAAAAAAGTAGAATGAAAAAAAAATGTCAAAAAAGAAAAATTTAGTAGAGAAATTAAGGAACTTCAACTTTAAACGATTTGTTTCTGATGTTGCATAGGACCACGGAAAGAGATTTCCTTATGTTTCACTCATTAGATTAACCAAGCAATATATTTTAACACACGCACATATCATATATGGATGCACCTCTTTAGGATCTAGTTTATTTATTTTCAAATAAATAACATTTGTGTGCAGCACATGACGCATCATATCACGTAATATAAAAATAATTGAGTAAGAATTCTTGTTAAAAGAACGAATATTCTTTTTTTATATATAAATATTATTGTATACCCCTCATCTATCGATCAGTTTATTCAGGAACGAACCACAGATAAGATTAAGGTTGACCAAAAAAACAAGAGGTTAAGGAATCGACAACGTTAGCCTCCATTGTCCATGTCACGAACAAACCGTTAAAATTACATCAAGCTTCATTCTTAAATATTAACGTGCTCAGGGTACGTATTGGTATTGTAACTCTTAAACTACGAAAAATGAATTGCTAGTTAAACAAATTAGAGCCCAATCAGGAGAAGAAACTAATTATGGTTCCATTGATACACAAACACACAGACACGAGCGTGAACCATGAAATATATATATTGACCTACAAGCAGCTGGAATCACAAGCAATTAATGGCGCGCGGCAGACAAAAACCCCTCAAGGTTTTGCACAAAACTTAGATTGATCGAATGAACAAAATATTAAAAATCTGGGACAAACACAATATTATTCAATGCAATTACACACATATACAATAATACACTACTCCTCCGTCCATGGTTCTTCTTGAAAACACATGGTTCTTGATGCCAATCCCTTAATTTTACAAAACTAACCTGGACAACAATCGCACAGATATGGATTCAGTGACTGTAGGCACTGAGTGCCTACATTAACTATCTGAACCTTTGACATTTATATTAAAATGGAGTATAAATTTAAAATTATTAATCTAAATTTTAATGATTTAGACGATATAAATACTTAATATTTATATTAAATATAACCATCAAATCCAAATTCACCGTCACACACGTTTACAACATAACTAACAACACTATTCAATAGAATTGCACGCACATACACACAATACACCGTACTACTCCGACTATGGGTCCCCCTAAAACACAAGCAAATTGTTGTTGATATCATACCCCATCTTCTCCAAATTGGGCTGCACCGCGAACTGAATCATTGGTGGTGGCCCACAAGCCAATGCCAGCGTGTCGTCCGATGCCTCCAAAGCATGCTCCCTCAGGATATCCTCCGTGATGAAACCCACACTGTATTCCCACACTTCGCTCTTGCTTTCCTGCACCACGTACCACACTCTGAACCGCTCATCCTTCTTAGCCCACGCATCCATCTCTTCTCTCAGCAGAATATCATCCTCAGTCCGGTTCGCATACACAACGATCATCTCGGTCCGATCCTCTGGATCCTTCAGAATAGCTTGAGCCACTTGATAAATGGGCGTGATCCCGCTCCCGCCGGCCAGCATGGTCAGCCTCTTCGCAAACTTGGGCTTCCCGTGAACCAAAAATTTACCTCTTCCGGTGTACTCTATGTGGCCTAGTGGACCCTTCACTTCCACGACGGTGCCAATAGGAAGCGAGTCCAGGTGCTGGGACATTAGCCCACCGTTGGGGAACTTGGGGTGTACCCCTTTGAAGTAAATCTTGACCACCAGATCGAAATACCCAATTTCATCGATGCTGCTGGTTGGAGTGTAAGGTCGCTTGCACAATTTATCATCAATGGTTGCACTCACAAATACATGCTTTCCGACGGGCAGGCCCATGGCTTGGTCCACGGAGGGTAGCGCAAAACGGAAAAGCCTCACGTCGTGTGAGATGGACTTTTTGGACACGAGCTTGCATGGGATTTTCTCATTCGGGTTTAGGGCCACGCTGCGTAATTGGTTGGCCTCTTTGATTGGGATTGTGTGACTGATGTCGGCATTGCTGTGCACGAAGGGGTTGGGCGACGAGTCAGTGGAGTTGAAGCCGGTAGGTATGAGCTCGCCGATTCTGTAGTCCTCGAGCATTTTCTTGGCTTCGTCAGAATGGATGGCCTCGAACTCTTCAGTGCAGTCGGTGCCAGCGTTGTTGAGGATGGTTTCGGCCCCGCCTGGGTGTTCTTTGAGGAAGCGGGTGCAGTCGTACACATAGCCTTGAACGATGATCCAGGCAGAGTCGGGGGAGGTGTGCGTTTTGACTTCGGTGATGGAGTACATAGTTAATATGGTGTTCATGAGGGATGTCGCGGCACTCTTCTTGATGCTCTGGTTAGACTCTGATGTTTTCATTGGCCCACCAGAATGGTTTTCTTGTATGGTTGGGTGTTCAAACACAATTCCAGTACCGCCTTTATGGGGCATGCACACATTGGTTTTCACTTTGAACCAGCAGTTGTTCATCATACCCTTCATCATCAAAACCCAAAGCGCTTAGATTTAAATAAAACAGGCCACTAAGAAAAAAATTAGATATATTAATTATGTACCAATATATATATTTTAATCACTTGGACCTTCGACCATAGTACTGATGTGGATTTCTAGCTAGCCATTTATTTAATACACACATTTATTCAATTAAAGTTCACGATTGTAAGTACCTTGAGATTCCAAATAAGCTTCTCGGGTTGGGTGTTGAAGGCCTCGTCCCATGCTCGTACAGCGATTTCCTTGGCTCCCAGAAGGTCCAGCACTTGCACCTCCAACGACCAGAAACACCAGCACCAGTATTTCCCGTATTTGTTCGGCTTTTCTGGGTGTTCTAATTTGGCCAGTAGCCATGTTTCCCCACCGTTCATTGTTACCTCGACACGTGTTACTTTTTTCCCGCCCCCTGCATGGATCCACTAGAATTAGAATTACCTCTCCATTCATACCCTTAGCTAACCCTAAATCTTAACTCTGATCCTTTGCATACCATGACAAGATCATCGCATATTAATCTTAAGCAAGTCCCTCTTGTTTTCCTTTTTCTTTCATGAATAAAGGGAAAGGAAAGGAAAAGCTAACCGTTATATGCGTAGCCTTTAAATACAAACGGCCTCTGAGTAGTCCAGTAGTTTATCGGCAAGATTTCCTCATGACGCGGCGTGGTTATCACGGAGTTTATGTTGAGCTCGTAGACAGCAGTCTCAGGCTTGTACCACCAACCTTGACTCACTCAATTATAATTAGAAAATTATTCATTTAAACAAAAGAATGAGCTGCCGCGACTCTCCATTAAAAAAAAAAAAAATGGCATTACCTTGAGAGCTGGCCAGCTCGGCATCCACGTGGGTGGGGAGCACTCTATTGTCCACATAATGGTAATGGTTGCTTGATTCTTGTGGAGTGACAATGATACGCTTGAGCCACTTAACCATGCGGCCCCCTATGAAACCCGGTATGATTATCCTCACCGGGAACCCGCAATCAGGTGCCAAGCGCTCCCTGTTTTGCATGTAAGCGATGATGATGTCGCGGGTCGGATCCATCGCAATGTCTCTCCGGATGCTTGTCTCGTACTTGGTCCCACCGCCACCTGGAAGATCCTCGTCCCCTTCGAGGCACACGTATAAAGCCCCTTTGGTACGGCTATAGATGCCGCACCTCTTGAGCAAGTACCTCAAAGGCACCCCCCGCCAGACGGAAGTGGAAATCGCACCCACACGCCAGCTAAAACCAATGCTTTGCTTCACATTGGTCTGTTCTGTCCTTCTGTTGCCGGCACACACCAGTGTGACGGGGAGCTCACGGCTGGGGAAGTCGTTGACGAGTTGGTCCATGGTGAACTTGGCGGGGCGTTTGACGAGGCCACAAACCTGGACGGTCCAGTCATGCCAGAGGTCATCTGGGACGGGGCCGTGGTTACGTACAAAGTGGAGGGGCGTGGGGGTGATGAAGCCGTGATGCATGAGGCGGCTGATGGGTGACTCCCAGTTGTAGTAGTGTTTTCCAGGGACACGCAGCATGGAAGCATTGCGTTCGATCCAGCACTCGGCTTCGGAGTTCACCTTTCGGATTACGTCCTTCCACTCTTGGGCGTCGTTTTCATCTTCGCTGGAGGAATCGTACTCCCTTGACGTGGGCTCGGATCTCTTGGGATTGGCTGGGGAGTCGTTGAAGGAAGTAGCTACGCCGTTTATTGGGCCGGCGTATTGACGGATTTCGATGGACGCCCCCATGGAAAATATCGAGGGAGAGAAAGTAAAACAGCTTTTGTGGTGAGAGGAGGCTTTACTATTGCAATGGAGTGCTTTGTAGAGAAATCGGAGTGACGAATGGGTTGTGGGTGTATTTATAGGTCGCCGGCGGACGGAGAGAGTACTGGGCCAGCCTGAGGACGACGCGCGGGATGTAGAAGAAGAGACAGCAGTTCAGAAATTCTATGACGTAGTGCGTGACATCAGTAATTTTCGATATTTTATGACGCTTTATTAGTTTAGGACTGACATCTTATTCAAGATGAGGGTTGAGAATTGATGCTGAGATCCACAATGCAGTCATGTGAAAGTGGGAGTCAACCAAAGAAGGGGTAATAGGGGAAATAAAAAATGGGGAGGCACCTAGACAGAATCCTGTCCAAATGCAACATATTTTACAAAGCTTAATATATATTATCAAAAATAACTGAGATGTGATAAAAGAAGATACTTTGTGATACTATTTATAAGTTATTTTTAATATATTTTATTAATATTGAAAAAAATTTTAAAATTTATTAATTCTATCTTAAAATTTAATAAATTTTTAACTTTATTCTTATTAAATATTTATGTCTTAATAACATATTTTCTCACTCTAACATTTAATGAAGAGTAAAAGATAAAGTTTAAAATAAAAATTTAATGATATAATTTATAAATATGATAAAAAAATTTTCTCTCTCTATTTTATAAATAGGATAAGAGGGAGTAGAAAAAAGAAGAAGCATAAAATAGGGTGAAATTGTGGTGAACCATGCCGCTGGTTCACCTAGACCAATTTCAAAACCTTGAAATTTAGTTGCACGCACAATTTAGCAAGTAAAAAATATTATCGCTAGAACACGACAACTTATCAAAGTTAGTATTGTATTAGTTGTCTCCCTCCAAAAGTATTGTATTAATTGTTCCACGTATGGAAAAGGATCCGTGTCCGCTTCAATCTTCTCCTTAAAAAAACAAAACAAAACAAAAATTTAAATCATCTAAAGTTAAGGTTGATAAATCTATGCATAATTTTTTTTATATTTTGCAAGTAACGATAAATGAATAAAATTTCTAAAAAAGAAAACTTCAATTATAAATTCATCGATCTTAATTCTAGAGAATTTAAATCCAAAAAGTGAAACTTCCCAAGAGTGCCTATATACTAGTACGCAGCACGCAACAAAAAGGATGGAGAAATTAACAAACATCTTAATACATTTGATCCACAAAAACGAAACCAAAATATTTTGCAAGAATCCGTACGAACTCTGTTCCCTGCGTGCATTTGGGGAAGTCTTCAAGCTCGTTCTATATTTTATCTTCGTTGTAGATGTATATTACAATTTAAAATCCTATTCGAGTTCATGGCGTGCGTGAATGCGTGCGATTAAAAACACGTCGACCTCCGATTAGTGGATTTGTAATATAATGCAGAAAACAAAGAAGTAAACGGCCGTGGATTTTTGGGGGAGTGATCGAATACAAGATAAGGATTAAATATCAATGGTTTGGATTCGAAAAAAAAAACGCGAGTCAACGGGTAACAAGGGACAAAAACGGAAATAAAAACCGGGGAGCTGGTTCTGATGGGGAACACAAAAATAAGTAGAAAAAGGGAGGAGAGTCAATCACTAACACCAATTAACAAAATTTATAATTATATTTTAGAAGCACATGTTATAACCCTGTATTTTTATTTAAGAGAAATTGATTTTCCTTAAAAAAATAGAATTTAAACTGCTGTGCGATTATAGCAAAACATAACTTTTTTACTTTTACAGTCTGAGGATATTAAATTTTCCGGGACACATATAATAAGTGTGAATTTTGAGGCCCCATGATTTTTCCCAAGAGTTTGGCAATGCATGAAAGGGTCAACAAAGTCCCCAACTGGGGACGGCTACTTCCCCGAGAAACAGGCTTCTCAGGTTGACTTTTAAATTAATGAACTTGATATTGAACTTTGTAATAATTTTTTTATTTTTAAAATATCATATTATTTTTTAATTCAAAATCTAACTGTTCTATTTACAAGTGGGTTTTAACATTTTTAAACAGTACACAGCAAACTGGCCGGGAGAGACCACTGTGTATAGACAATAGGGTAAGGGTGGGAAATGACAAGTGAGGAATGTGCGGGAGCGTGGCAGCATATCCAACTCCTTGATGGCTGCTTTCGGAGCAATTCGCCGTACGTGAGATTCGCAATCACATGTCTACTCTGAAAACAACATTACAGGGCACACATTTGGACGAGCATTTGAGGGATTTTCCATTTCTTTCTGCATTTTCCTCTCTTGGGCATGCCGATAGGGTTCTCTATATATCCTAGCTAGATGATGTATTCTTGCTCTGATATTTACCCCCCCTTTTGCCACACTCTGATGTTTACTCTAATAAATGTATATCAAGCTAGGGCATCGTAATTGAAATACGTAGATTTTGTTTTTCTGCATTTTCAGTTTTTGTTCACACAAAACCTCTGCCTCTAGGATGATCTGCTGGTGATGCCACGTAAGTGAAGGAATTGTTTTTTTCCCCCTTCCTTTCCCTTTCCTGGTCACACGCCAAATAAAATAACATGATCACAAACAAGTTTTTCACTCAAGATTTCTTTCCCATTAGCAGTACCACATTTTTTTGTAAATTTGTTTTCGGATGGAAAAAATTTAAAAATCTAGGGCAAACATAGTATATTATACCATTCAATTACAGACATGTATGACACATCCAACTCCGGCAATGGGTCTTATAGAAAGTAAAACCAAATTGTTCTTGAAAACACACTCCACTTTCCCGAAATCACGTGGCTGCACAACAATGGCGCTCACACACACACACACACACACACACACACACACAAAGGGCTGCACACCACACACATATACGACAATACAACTTGCTCCTCTATCCATGTGTTCAACCTAAGACACAAGTAAATTGTTGTTGGTGTCGTACCCCATCTTCTCCAAATTGGGCTGCACCGCGAACTGAATCATGGGCAATGCCAGCGTGTCGTCCGATGCGTCTGGGGCATGCTCCGTTAGGATATCCTCCGTGATGAAACCCTCACTGTATTCCCACTCTTCACTCTTGCTTTCCTGCACCACGTACCACACCCTAAACCGCTCATCCTTCTTAGCCCACTCATCTAGCTCTTCTTTCAGCAATATATCATCCTCGGTCCGGTTTGCATACACAACGTGCATCTCCGTTCGGTCCTCTGGGTCCTTTAGAATGGCTTGAGCCACTTGATAAATTGGCATGATCCCCGTCCCCCCGGCCAGCATGGCCAGCCTTTTCACAAACTTGGGCTTCCTGCGTACCAAAAAATTACCTCTTCCAGTGGACTCTATATAGCCTAGGGGACCCTTCACCTCCACAACACAGCCAATAGGAAGCGAGTCCAGGTGGTGAGACATGAGCCCACTGTTGGGAAACTTGAGGTGTACCCTTTTGAAATAAATCTTGACCACCAGATCAAAATACTCGACTTCGTTGACGTTGCTGGTTGGAGCGTAAGCTTACATGTAGAGCTCATCCTCAATGGTTGCACAGACGAACATGTGCATCCCGACGGGCAGACCCATGATTTAGTTCTTTGAGGGTAGCTCAAAATGGAAAAGTCTCACGTCGTGTGAGATGGACGTTTTGGAGAAGAGCTTGCATGGGGTTTTCTCACGGGTGTTGAGGGCCACGCTGCATAATCGTGGGGATTCCTTGATTGAAGCTAAAAGGCTAGTGCATGTTGGCATTGTCGTGTGCGAAGGGGTTGGGAGAAGAGTCAGTGGAGGTGTTGCCAGTAGTCAAGACCTCGCCAATTTTGTAGTCCTCGAGCATTTTGTTGGCATCAGCAGAATGGACGGCTTCAAACTCTTGGGTGCAGTCGGTGCCGGCATTGATGAGGATGGTTTCGGTGCCGCCGGAGTTATCTTTGAGGTAGCTTGTGCAGTTGTAGGCATAGCCATGAACAATGATCCAAGCAGAGTTTGGGGAGGTGTGTTTTTTAACTTTGGAGATGGAGTACATATTGGAGGTGGTGGTGTTCATGAAGGGCGTTGAGACACTCTTCAAACTTTGGTTGGACTCCAATATTGTCTTATCAAAGTGGTTTTCCTTCTTCATCGACTTGCTAGGGGTGTTTGTTGGTATGGTCGGGTGCTCAGACATGATTCCAGTCCCCCCTTAAGGGGCAAGCACACCTTGGTTTTTACTTTGAACCAGCAGTTGTTCATCATACCCTTCATCACCAAAATCCAAAGCGCTCATATTAAAATAAAACATGTGTCTATGAGATAAAAATTACATATAAATTGCTCGGAACATTGGTCATGGTACTGAACTTGTGGATTTACGGTCATCATTAACGTTAATATATATTTACTCAATTAAAAGTGTAGAATTGTAAATACCTTGAGATTCCAAATGAGCTTCTTCAGTTGGGTGTTGAGGGCCTCATCCCATGCTCGTACAGTGATTTCCTTGGCTCCTAATAGGTCTAGCACCTCCACCTTGAATGGCCATAAACACCAGCGCCAGTATTTCCCATAGTTGTTCGGCTTCTCTAAGTGTTCCAATTTGGCCAGCGACCACGTTTCCCCACCGTTCAATGTCACCTCTACATGTGTCACTTTTCTCCCGCCCCCTGCATGTAACGACATGGATATCTTCATCAATTATGTCTCCTCGTGTCCCCCCCCCCCCAAAAAAAAAAAGCTAGGCCTAAGCTTGAAGCCCTATCCTTCGCAGATCAAAAGAAGATAGTTTTAATATATTTTAAGCAAGTCTGAATCCTCTTCTTTTTCCCTTCTTTCTGGGAAAGAAAATGAAAAAATTCTAACAGGAATATGCATAGCATCTCAACACATACAGCCTTTGAGTAGTCGAAGAGTTTATGGGCAAAATCTCCTCGTGACACGACGTGGTTATCACGGGGTTTATGTTAAGCTCGTTGATTATATACTCAGGCTTGTACCACCAACCTTCACTCATTCAATTAAATATAATTAAGAACTCGAAAGATGGCATTAACGAATGATCCATTTCAACATACGAATTAACTGCATTTCCACGAATTGACAAGAGAAACAAGTACAAATGCCAAGCACATTACCTTCAGCGCTAGCA